ATCAGATAAAAGAATTAAAAATAGGACAAAGAACAGAGTCAGATCACATGCCACTAGAAATATATTTAGAAAAAAAAATAGGAATGGTAGAAGATAGGAGAAAGGAAGAAAAGAAAATTTTTAGAATAGAATGGACGCAAGAATTGATAGACCAATACCAGGAGAGGTGCGAAGGATGGAATTGGAAAGAGATACAAGTAAAAAGAAGATGGGAAGAAATAAAAGAAGCAATAGAAGCAGCAGTACCAAAAACTAAAAAACAGTCTAAAGTATGGAGGTTGGAAGAAAGAAAGTGGTATGACAAAGAATGGAAAGCAAAAAAGAAAAAGCTGAGAAAAATACTGAAGCTATGGAGGAAAAAGAAAGTGGATGGAAACTATCTAATTAACAAAATGAGAGAGTATAGAAATTGGTGCGAGGTGAAAAGAAAAAGGTATGAAATAACGGAGGTAAAAAATTTAAGGTTCGCAAAATCAGAAAGGAAAATTTGGAATTATAAAAATAGATATAAAAAAAGCAAAGCAGGCGTTAATTATAAGACAAAAATTGAAGAATGAAGAAGGCATTTTAAGAGGAAACTAGGCGGTAAGGATGAAAAAGCTATGATGATAAAAGAGGTGAAAGAAGAGAATGCAAGAATAGAGAAAAGTACACAGGACCAAGAAGAATTAAGCAAAGAAGAGTTTAAGAGGTTAATAAATAGGTTAAAACTGAGGAAGGCACCAGGAAAGGACAAACTAGAAAACGAAATATGGAAATATATGCCAAAAGAGGTTGATGCAGTGTTATGGAAATTGATGAAGGAAGTATGGAAAGAAGGAAAGATTCCAGTACAATGGAGAAGAGAAGTGATATGCACAATTTATAAAGGAGGTGATAAGGAGGAGCTATATAATTTCAGAGGGGTAACTTTGACATGCACGGCATATAAAATATACGCAAATATGTTTAATGAATTATTGAAATAAGAGATTGAACAAAAATTATCAGAAAGTCAATTTGGATTCAGAGAAGGAATAGGAGTGATGAAAGCAATTTATACTCTGAAGCACATGGTAGAAGACGAATTAAGTAAACCAAAAGGAAAAATATTCGCATGCTTCATTGATCTGAAAGAGGCATTTAACAAAGTAGATAGAACGGTTGTAAGGGAAAGATTGCAAGGTATGGAGGTGAGTAAAATATTGATAAGTAGAATTATGGATATATACAAAGAAACTATAAATATAGTGAAGGTAGGAGATAAAATATCAGATGAATTTTGGGCAGAGAGAGGAGTAAGGCAAGGGTGTCCATTGAGCCCGACATTATTTAATGTATCCCTAGTCGATCTAGAAGAGGAAAGGAGAAAAGGGCTAGTAGGAGGATGCAGAATAGGAAATGAAAAAATATGGAGTTTATCCTACGCTGATGACATAGTTTTAACAGCAGACAGAGAAGAAGAGCTAAAAGATATGTTAAAAAAGCTCAAAAAGTGCATTGAGAACAAGAAAATAATTTTTAGCGAAAGAAAAACAAAAACTTTAGTATTCGAAAAAAGAGCAAGGAAAGATAGAGTATAAAAATGGGGAGAAATTAAACTAAAAGAAGTGACAGAAATTAGATATCTAGAATATATTTTACAAAAAAATGGTAGTAATGAAAGGCATTTGGAAGAAAAAAAGAGAAAGGCTATAATGGCAATAAAAAACGCTCGGAGTATAGGTCAGTGGATATTTAAGTATAGTTTTCAAAGAAGGAAGAAGTTATTTGTGGCATAAGTGGAGAGTATAGCGTTATTCGGAGCAGAAGTATGGGGCTGGGAAGAAGATAAAATATTGAAAAGTATACAAAGAAAATATATTAAGTGGTTATTGAGATTAGACAGGAATACACCAAATCATTTAGTGGAAGAAGGATGTAAATTGGAAAGCATGAAAATAAAGGCGCTAAGAAGAGCAATAAAATTTGAAGAAAAGATTAGGGACTCAAAAATTGAATAATAAAAAAAGGCATAAAAGAAAAAGATATAGATGAAGAAAGAGAAAAAATAGGAAGAGTAGCAAAAAAGAGAATGGAAATATTAAAGGAAGAGGAAGTAACAGAAACAAGATACATGAGAGGGACAGTATCCAAAGAGCAAGTAAGATTTAAGATAATAGAGAGTATGAGAAGAAAGGAAAAAGAAAAAAGATTAGAAAAGATGAAAAACTCAAGATATAATAACATATACAATAACATAATAACAGAGGATGAACCAGAATATCTGGAGATGAAAATGCCAATAAAAGATAGAAAATTAATAACAAGATTTAAATGTGGTAATGAATGTAAAAGCAGAGAACATTGGAAGGAAAAAGAAGAAAAAAAATGTAGATTATGCAAGAAAGAGGAGGAAAATCATACACACATACTGAAGAGATGCAAAAAAACTATAAGCGAAAAAGTAATAGAAGATATACTTGATAAGAGCGCAAAAGAAATAGAAATATTGAGAAGAGTAGTTAGGAAAAGAAAAGAAGGGCAGAGTTTCTGAGAGTGCCAAGAGAAATAGGATGAAGAAATCAAGATGAAAGAGAGAAAGGATATGAAAAAAGAGAAGAAAGAAGAGAAAGGATCAAGAAAAACATTTTAAAGTGTAAAGTGAAGTGTAAATATACTTTTAAAAAGACTGTAATATTTAAGATTTAATATTTTTAATTGCAGTGGTTATATGGACAGTATTTTTATAAGTTTATAATATAATATTAAAGAAAAAGTGACTAATTGTTTCAGTATTATTAGTAGATTTTATTTTATTTCATTTCTAGTTAACTTTAAACATAAATATCAATATGAATTTAAAATCAGAAGCAAATTATCTTTAAAAAGTTGTTTTTAATTGTTATATGTTTTTTTGTTTACTTACTTATAAGTATAGGTTATGTTACTTGAAAATCATAAATGAAAACGTAAAACATATGCGAAAGTAATGTGCAAAGATAATGATAAGAAATGTAACGGAAGCCCTCGAAACCCGAATGGGACGGAGTATGAAATAAATAAAAAAAAAAATTTTTTTTTTAAATATTTTTTGTGTACATATGCAGTAAAAAATGTTAAATAATCATATTATTTGGTTTACTAGCACTAAATAATAATGCAAGATGAATGTCTCATCAGAATAATTGAGGTTGCACGCGTAGTTCAAGTTTTTCGATGGTAAATTGTTTTAAAAGAAGTTAGTTATATGTCACGCTATTGCGAAAGTAGGTATGCTGCTTGATGGTTTGAAATTGCGGAGTTTTTGCTTATTATAATTTAAAGACGAGACTCTGCGTTTGAATGTAATAAATATTTAGCTTACGACATTGGATGTCACAACTTGACCTTAGATAAATTTAAATTTTTTTTGCTAGGTCTACTTTTTTACTGTAAAACTTTGTCTCAATTACCAACCAAACACTGTCATTTAAAAACAAGTAAAACATATTTCTACTGAACGTAGTCTTTAGTGCGTTGTTTTTTTTAATGACCTGTCTTTCAAGGTCAAAATTAAAAGAAGAACAAGGAAAATATCTCTTATGCTAGGCTTATATAACTCTGTATATCCATATCTATTAGTCTTCTTACAAACATGAAATTATCTTTTGTATTTAGCGTATGATTTTAAAAATGTTATATTTTCTTAGCTACTCCTTTAAAGTCCTGTACCGTAACCATAGTTAGTTTCGTTTTTTAACTACTTAGGAGATAGAGAAATCAGAAAATAAAATGGTTTGACTGTTTAATACAATCTAATTAGTTGTAGAGGGGGGAGGATTTAATTCATAATTGATAAATATAAGATACAGTGGATCAGGTACTATGTAGTGAATAACTACGTCGTTTGAGCCTTTTAAATGCACACAGATTTCTGTTATTTCTCTAATTTTTACTGTTATAGTGTACAAATAGTATACAATTTGTATTACTCACTATACCTATATACAGTGATATGGCTTTTGTGCGGCACAGCCAATCAGGGCTTTGCATTACTGTCAACCACCCTGTAATTTAGGAAAGGGATTAACAGAATAGTGAAACACTGTGAGCTTTGTGTCAAATTTAAAATTAGACTTTTTTCTCGAGAAAAGAAAAAATTAATTTATAAGTCTTTTTTCTAATACATGAAACAATGTAAGCATTTCTTTCACAACTTATTAACATTACACAATATCAGCAGCTCATTCTACAAATCAAACAATTTTATAGAAAAGCAACGATTTATTTTTATCTATAGACTTTCGATTGACATTTGTGATTCAGTCAACGGCTCCTATCTCATTCCTTTTCTTACACCCTCTTTGACAGCTTCATTTTTCACTTTTCTTTTTTTTCCCCCGGCTACTTTTCTGATAATTTCATCGTGTTTTTAGTTATTTTATGTTAAAGCTGAGTATGATTCTTAACTGTTAGCTTCTTTTTCTTACTTTAAATTGTTACTTATTCTCTTTTTTCTTTTTTTTACTTTTTATTTTATTGCAGCTTTTTGTATATAAAGTTGATTGATTTTAAAACATTTTTCGTTGCTTAGCATGTATTTCATAACTAAGCATTCATAACCGTCGTATCAATATTGTTTGCAATGGTTTTAGTAATTGTATGGGTGCTGGTGTAGGTGTTATGGTGTGCTGTGATGGTGTTGGTGTTGGTAGAGGTGGTATTTTTTCATCCTGATACGCCATTATCGCTAGCAGAATTGGTAGTGATGGAGGCAGTGGAGAAGATGATGGTTGTTGCATTAACCACCGTATTATTTGCTATGTGCTTCTACGGCGCTGCCTTTTTGTCAGTAATTTTCTGTGTTAAATTTCTTAAAGTTAAATACTTGAATGGGCCACTGATGAAAAAAGCTTATAACATTCTCAAAAGAATATAGATCAAAGTAACAAATAGTGCCAAATGAATGGTGCAGTGTGAAAAGGGTCCCCACATGACAAAGGTTATTGTTACTTTTCATTCACATTCTCTAATTAAGTTAAATTATACAGCGTACAAGGTCAATAGGTGGTACTAGTCATGGCACTGCTGCTATTGCAGCTGGTTTTTGTGGTTGAACTGCTGCAATCACTGTAGCTACTGATGGTGTTAGTACTGCTGCAGTCGCTGCTGCTGTTGGTAATGACCCAGCCACTCATTCTACTGCTGCTATTGGTGATAACGCTGCTGCAATCACTGCTGCTATTAGTAGTGGCCCTGTCGCTGCCGCTGAAGGTACAGCTGCTGCTGTTAATGGTATCGCTGCTGAAATCACTACTACTGCTGGTAATGATCCTGCTGCTGCTATTAGCTGTAGCACTCCTGTTGTATATTATTTTTACAGTACTAAAGTAAAATAGTAAGTATATTTGTATATTTGACGCTTTTGGATCAAAAACAATAATAAATAATTCCATTAAATAATGAAAAAAAATCATACACACGAATTATTGCTGCTTTATTTAAAACTTTTTAATGACAGTGTTTAATTTTTAGAAACATACAAAAAAAATGATATAATTTTAACTAATTCAAATTTTTTTAATGTTACATCATTATTACTTGCCAACAAACTCTGAAATACTGCCTTGATCATCGAACTTTTCATAATCCATTTCAAAATAAGTCTAACGTTTGTTATTTGCTTTACTCATACTCACAGTAATCATACTTAGTTGAGCTTAAACTTTTTTTTCTTAAAATTTACGTGCTCTCAGAATTTTTCCTTGTAGTCGTTAGTTTTTTTCGCTCATATTCCATTTTATGTATCGATATAAAGGAATGAATGGACTAGCGAAAGCAAATAAGAGATTAATATGTGCGTGTGTGCCTGTACTTATACACATGTATGTATGTGCATTTATGTGTCACGTCTCGAAGTCAAAGGTTGTATACCGATATATGTTTTCCAACATTAAGGCCAGCTTTCCCCTTGCAACGAACTCATCACAATACTGGTTAGAGCCAGGTGCTAAGCTACGGCCGTCAAGTGGTCGTTTCTCATCAGATGTTGTTGGTAGCGCTCTTACTGCTGCTATTGGTCGTGGCGCTGCTGCTATTACTACTGTTGTTAGTGGTGGTGATACTGCTGCTGCTAAAGGCATAGCTACTATTATTAGTACTAGTGCTTTTGCTGATATTGGTGGTGGCACTGCTGCTATCACTGCTGCTGTTATTAGTTGCTGACTGTAAAAAATAACCACAACTTGCAATGGAACGTACTTGTGTTAGAGGAGTTGCAGTCTTTTTTTTTTGCTGTCACTATTAATGTCACTGCTGTTATTGGTAGTTTAGCGTGCTTCACTGAATTCTTGTGTCCAAGATCTGTCTACATTATTTTTAAGTTTTTTCGTCACTCATGTGTCAGATATATTGGCAAATAAAGTGTTGGATTATTTGGAACCGCCCCCAATAATTCCGTTAATGGAGCTCTGTTAATAGTAAATAAGCATATGTTTAAAATGAGTAAAACATATGACAGTTAGAAGAAAGCTAAATTTATGACAGATAAGGAGAAATATAGAAGCAATATTGAAAGATCTTTTTCAAATACGTATATGAGAAGAAGGTAAGCTGTATTTTTATGACTAAATACAAAAAAATTTGATTCAACAAATGTAGTAAGTACAACAGTTAATACATATTCACACCTTAAGCCCAGGTTTTTATATAGAAATAAATATGGATTTTTCATATCGTTATATACATGAGAGATATTCAACATAAAATATCTGCAATGGAGCAAGTAAAAGAAGTTGTAAGATAGTTATTATAAAATATATAGTTCAATAATGATCAGAAAAGAATTTTTTTTAAGTAAATGATTATAGTTAAACGTAATTTTACATTTTTCGTCGTATTTAAATTTCATTCTATTGAAATTTTTTATGTGATCAGAGTTCATAGTACATGTAAGTGCAACTTCATACATAAAATGTTGTTATTATTCTTGCCATAATGTAAAAATTCAATACAAAAACGTTTGAAACTCACCGATTAATGCTTAAAGCACTATATTTGTCAAAGATCAGGATAACTCCAAGGTTGACAAGAGAAGTTAACATAAATTTACTTGGTACTTGTTCTGTTTTTTTAACTAAATATTTCTTACAATTTCAAGTTCATAAAAAACTAATACTGTTGTCTCTGTACGAGGGTTTAACCTGATCATAAAACTGCCAGTGTGTTTTAAGACACTCACACATGCACACAGATGCGTGTGTGTTCGCACATGTATATGTACGTGTTCGTGTATTATACGGCTGGTGCTGGAGGCGTGGGGCTATTCCAGAGATAACCTAGTCAGTAAAATCAGATTTTTTTTTTAGTTTAAAACTTTTTTTTTACTGACTAACAATATTACATTATTAATTATAAAAAATCATAATCAAAGAAATGTGCAAGTTTTTGAGAATTCCACATAAAACCAACTACTTTTTACCAGTAAGATGATTAACTACCTTAGCTGTTACAAGCTTGCATATTTTAAAACGTTAAACTAATGTATACGCAAGAGCTTAAGCTTTGTAAGAGTTAGAATGCATTTGATAAATACCTTGTACAGAAGGGTTGAGCATTCAGAGTCTGATCTAATGCATACTATAAGAAAAACTGCTTCAAACTATTTCGAACCATCAATGAGGGTTATCTTGCAAGCATATAAGAGTTAAGCTGTTAAAGTTCAGTATGGATTTAAAATTTTAATTCATTTAATACGGCATGTATTAAATAAGCGAGGCAGATCATCAGCTGTTCGTAGCAGTAGATGACCTATCACACATTTAAAAATAGTATAGTTCTGAAGATAAAAAGGACAAGATTTTACAAAGGTTTTTTCAAATAAAAACTTTGAAGAACTTTCAGTGAGCTATACTAAACACTCAGTCTAATACTCTCGTTACTATCACTAAAAAGTATTCGCTGCACAGCTTGTCGCAAAGCAGTGGGTTTAAATCCCAACTTGCATGTAAGTCTAAATATGATTTTTCGAGAAAAAAAAAATATATACGTCTATATTAAAAAATATATATATTTCTTTAAATAAGTGGCAGATAGCGTTGTTAATCATAACAGTATGTCTTACTGCTGTATTTCCATCTACTTTGACCAATCTTCCATAAATATTTAAAAAACTTCTAGATAGTAAAAGACACAAATTTTGATGTTAAATTGAAATACAAATTCCATCGCTGTTACCATGTGTTGACAATGCTTACGGCTGATGAGCATGAACCTCATAGTGCGCTGTAGATGGATAAAATGTAACTGGAGACTTAATTTGTAGAGTCTTATTCATTTTGTACACAATAAAAAAGTATTCAACTCATGGAAACCAGAGTTTCTTATTTTTAGACCAAGACTTTTCGTAAACTGTATGTTTTGATGAGTTAGTTTTTGACGTACTGGCTGTTTTCTTGTATGTCTTGATGCTTTGATCAACTGCTTTCTCTGACGTCTCAACTATTTAAGAGCTCATTGTTAACTTAGCGCTAGGGTGGAGATTGAGCTTTCTCTATGATTTGTTGGATTATAAATTATACTTATTATGAAGAAGTATATGCAATCTTATAATTATGACTTCACTATGAAAACTAACTAAATCATCATTCTGATCTTATTTACGTATTTGTATATGTTCAGTGCAACGTCCAATATTAGGACACTGTATAATTTGTAAAGAAACTTCAACAATTTTTTATCGTGGTGGTACAGCTAAAATAAATTTATGGATCGTGTGCACTTTGCTGCTATTTATGTGAGCCTTACTTGTGATGTTACATTCAACCCTCAATACGTTTATGTTTAGAATAGCTATGGGTAAGTCTGAAATATGACTAGTGTTTTTGTTGAGAGCTCGCTTACTGAAACCTACTAAACGGCCTATAGAATCCTTAGGTCTAAATTTAAAGGTAAGGCTGCACTTAATAACACTACGAAGCGTATTATTGTTTGCCTTAACATTCAAGAGTTATGTTGTAAACATGTTATACCTGATTTAAAAATGATGTAATATCTTCGACCTCATAACTACCAGCTGGTTGTACAATAATTTAACTGTTGATATAAAATTTATTGCAGTGTTCATCAATATTTGTGATTGAATTTAATGACAAAAGTTCTATGAAGCTAAAAACGTAGGTGTGTTTTCATGATAATTCAACAGGTGAGGGATACTGTGCTTCTTAAACAAAAGAAGTACTAGAGAGACTTTGTGTTGATATTTCTTCTATCGTTGTCAACGTATAACTAAGGGGTTTCTGTTAATGTTAGAAAGTTATATTCATTTCTAAAGAAACCTTAAGCACAAAAGACTATAGGTGTTGGAATAATATTTTTGAAAATTCATTTGATTATATTTCTCCTTATTTACTTTTACAAATCACATTTAGTCGATAGGTGGCTGTAGATCTCTAAGACTGTCAGAATATACAACATTATTTTCACATTTTTAAAGAGATACCTGGTGAGTTTTAAGATAATTTTCATCATTCAAATTTACTATAGCTGTGAAAAAAAATATGAGCTGTCAGCAGTTGAGATGTTTCTCATGAATACTACACGAAAATAAAAAATTGCTAAGATTATAAAACTCTTCATTAAATGTATGTTTGTCACAGCTTGATCAAGTGATATTACTGCTTTAAAGTTTTTTAAACATTTTACACTCAAATACTTTTTATAGATTTCTAATTTAGTCTTATAAGGTTATGAGGTTTGACATACAGACCTTTCCTAAGGGCAATAGCTTTCATGGTTTGATTATGTCTCTGATTCTTGGCAAGTTTCGAAGCTGACTTAGGAGCATTGATGCTCTTAATAGTTCTTACCATTTCGTTGACTATAGCACCTTTTTTACTAAAATTAGCAAACCAGCAAACAAGGGAACCCGAGGAAGAGCTTTACCGATTCGAGTAGGAAGGCGTAAGGTACGGAAAATTTTAACAAGTTTCTTACTGCCAGAATATTGGACTGTAGTATGAGCACCTCTTGTAGCACCACTAAAGATATCTCGAGCTTTTTTCCATGTAATATTCATGTTTTATAAAGTAGCCTTAATAATCGTACTTCTTGTCAATTTTTTGAATGCTATATATATTATGCTATGTCCATGCTCTTTACATGCTGTGTCTAATGGATTAGCTCCTGAATTTCCTATCAATTTATAACCAGGCAAATAAAGATCTACTGGTACAGAAATTATGATTTTCTGCATAATGATAATGATGCATAATAATGATGATGCAACTTATTTTTCATACAGAATAGGCATGGAATTCAAAGAACAATCAATAAAATTATAAGCTCCATTTTTTTTTCAGTGAATAGCAAATAATGACAGAATCTATAAAATTTCTGCTTTTGAGTAATATTTGAATTTTTAGTCTGACACTTAATGTAATCTTTAAAAGTTATCGTACTTCCTACTGTAAGGCATTTTACACTTTTACAAAGACCAACAATTTTAACAACGAAGTTCTTTACCGTGGGTAACGATGAGATGTATACTTCTCGCGTATTTTTTGTGTATAAGGACGGTTCGAAACGGGGAGCCATCAGCCAGAAGGTGTAAGTAAAAAGCATGCACTTTTTGGGGGGGGGGGGGCACAGAGCAGAATCGGTGACACAGAGATAAAAGGAGAGAGAGCCATGCAGCGCAGGGACCCATTAGCTAGAAAGCGTAAGGAAAAAGTGTGCACGTGTAGGAAGGGGGAAGACAGAGCAGTAGTGCTGACAGAGAGAGGGGGGAAAGCATTAACCAGCACAAAGACCTACTGTCCTAAAAATTTAAGAAAAAAGCGTTAACTTCTATTTTTTTTAATTAAGATTACAAGATCTCCTCTTTCATTATACTTACAATATCTCAAAGTACATAACTTTGTCTTTTTGCATATACTTATCTTGTTTATGACGCATAAGAGATATCACTCGTAACGTATTCAGTATAAATTAACTCATATTTTAACACGCCTCCTTAAATTTATATTGCAATCTCAATTTTAATATCTTCAACTACTTTATATTTAAAGCATTTATAGTCTTTTCAGCATGTGTGTGTGGAAATGGCCATGTTTTGTCTCTCTCAACTGTACCACTGTACACCCGAGGGTCGTTAATTCGTTCCCCGTACTTGACGTTAATGGCAACATTGCCTAGCAAGGTCAGTAATACGATGTACAAATGGTAAAGTAAACATTACAATGTGGGCAGACAATCAACAGGCTTTCTCAGTCTGAAAGGTCTATGTCAAGTGGAAGCAAAAAGGGTATTTGTTTACAATCTGTCAGTTTAATTTAAGCACTCAGTGATATGCAAGAATCCATTTTTTGATAGTAATTTGTATCAGAAAACATATTTATAAAATTTATAAGAAAGCTCATGACAAGGTAGCTTCTTGTTGCTACCTTAGCCTGGAACGACGACATATTCTATTTCATTATCATTATCATCATCATCATCATCATCATCATCATCATCATCATCATCATCATCATCATCATCATCATCATCATCATCATCATCATCATCATCATCATCATCATCATCATCATCATCATCATCATCATCATCATCATCATCATCATNAAAAGGAAAAAAAAAAAAAAAAAAAAAAAAAGCCAAACTAACCAAAAGTTAAGTACTCATCGAATACAGGAAGAATTTCTGTGAGTGAATCCTATTGAGATAAATAGGAGCAATTTTTTGGTCAACATGTGTAGACATGACTCTCACGCCCATTTGAGCTAAGGTTCAAGCCACAATTACATAACCAGTAGGAAAAAGGTGGCAAAGCGTAATTTATAAATAAATAAAATAAATAGAAAGAGGAAGCATATAAGCTCATGTCAAGTGTATTGTTATGCATCTTTCTACTGCCATGTTGTAGTGTGTTACTGTGTGCAGTGTCCAAGTATACAATGAATCCATGCACGTATTAATGTAAGTATAACTTTTTCACTGAATTAAGGATGCAACCATGATGGTGTGCATGCATATTGAGTGTGTGGGTGTGTCATTTAACTGTGCAAGAGTGTACACGTTTGTCTGTGTGCACAGTTGTTAATATTAATACTTCATACACTTGTTAGTACTTATATTTAATAAAATACATTTAAAAGTAATTTTTGCATGTCCAGCAGATTGATACAGATAGCCCGTATAAATTACATTAATTTTAACAATACTATACAACCTTGAAATATTGCAAAATACGCTATATCTTTCAAAGTACGAAAGGTAGAGCAAAAGTAAGAAGTTTTCAGGATTTCCTTAGGGTAAAAAAAATATCGTGACACACAAAAAAAAGATGTTAAATTATGTAAAGATATAACCTTAAATTTCAGTATTTTTAATAATTCTTTATAACAATAAGGCAGAAAGTTTTTTGAAAAAATATAGCACATTTGCAAAATTATTTTAAACATGTTGGATAAATTGCTCGTTTTTTTACCAACAATAACCTAAAAAATTATTTTAAAAAGTTTCCAAGCGTTACATGAACCAGTTTATCATACATGACAAATGCATGAGAAAGAAATAAATATACAGCCGAAACGTGCGACACAAAGGACATATTAAAGTTACATGTACTTACANTAAACATGTATATATTTCTCGTTTTTTTACCAACAATAACCTAAAAAATTATTTTAAAAAGTTTCCAAGCGTTACATGAACCAGTTTATCATACATGACAAATGCATGAGAAAGAAATAAATATACAGCCGAAACGTGCGACACAAAGGACATATTAAAGTTACATGTACTTACAAACATCGTATTTTACAGTATACAAGTGATTTCTACAAACATACGAGAACTTCATTCTTATCGGGGGACTCCGAGTCCTTTACGCTGATTTTTTTGTTTTTATGAGGCGTATCAAAGTCATAGATAATAGGATAGTCACATGTGTCAAATTCACCGATATTTTCACGCATCATATTAAAGATATTTTTATTCGTCATTTATATACGAGACTATCGGTGTTGGTGTACAACAGTTTGCACTGATCCCCAATTTGATTTCTCATAACATCATAATGAAATCTATGCACAAGTATTTTACGTGGGTCCAAGATACTAAATTATGAATATAGTATATATGTATATATATTAATTTTTTTATCAAATTATCTGTGCACATTCATTTTATAGCAACAAGCTGCTCGTCAAATATGTCATAACTGTGAAAATTTAGACGTGCAATACATGCTTCTGTCCGAAATCTTCCCTCTCACTTGTTTGTAAGCTTAACGTCAATTTACTTGCGTTTGTTTTTCATTGTTCATTCATAAACCACAATGTTAAATAATTAGCATATCTTCTTAAAGTCATTTTTTGGATTTCGACCTTTTTAACTATTTAGGTCTATAAATGTTTGTAAACGAAATATTTAATTAAATATATAGCTCTATAGACTTTTGTTATACAGAGACCATGACTTATAACTTGCTGAAGTGCTCAATGGTGTATTACATATTTTTTGTCGTTGTTCAGAGTAGCCAATACTTTTTTTTATTTAGATCATAGAGGTGTTGTCTGCTTAGCACAGAATAGTAAATCCTTGTGTGCGTTATAATTGTGTGTGTGTGTTTCGGGGTGAACAAGATCTACTTGAAGTATACATCAGATTTGAGATTCAGCTTTTACATTTAAAATACCTGCTGAGCTAATATTTTAAATTTATTTAAAACCAGCGTAAGGCAATGGTTTGATCATGGCCCCACCATACAAATTATTGACATTACAAAACGCGAGATATTTTTAAGCAAAATCATCACATTTGCCCTACTTCATGTGTGCTTTATTTACTTTAGCATATCAATTACAATATTAGCTGATGTCACCTCGTACACTGCACTCAATAAGCATAAGCATGTCAACATCAGTTAACAATTTAAATTTTACCTTAAATCAACTTTCATGATTGTGTTATTATAGTAACTGTTATCTAATTATAAACTACAACGTAAGAAGTTTTTTTAAACCTTTGAATACTTTTACATAGCATCCCGAGTTAAACCAGACGTTACATATTAATGAGATTGGTCTTACTATTATGCTTCGTGATAATTGTTCCGAAAGTTTTCGGAAACTTTGGCAAGTAGTTGCACATCACTCTTTAAGAACAATTCTGAATATTGCCCAAGTATTAAAATGTTAAAAATATCTTAGATACTTGTTTTGCTGTTGACTTTTTTTCCTCTAGTTTTTCTAACGAGGATATAAAATCATACGGAAATATGCCTTTCTTTTTTATACATTTATTTGATTCATATCATGGCTAGCTCTCATCATTTGAGAATGTTCTTTCGATCATTTTCAATTTATCTAAATATGGTGACAGTTTGTCAAGAGATAAAGCCATAAGTTTAAAGGAATCTATGAATTGTAAAATAATATTAGTTTCTCAATCATATTTTGTACAGGAAATCTAATTCTCTTTTGTGTGTAGTAAAAGCCTAACTCTTCCTAGGAAGTTGATAGCAAGTTTTTTTTATAAACAAATGAGAATCATAAATGCTAAGATTTTGAAAAATTGTAAATATCATTCAAGAACGACAATAATTATTATAACACTTGTTGCGTGCAAGACAACGAAACCTGCAATAAAAAAATTTTTTCTAAATTTGGTTTACGAAAGCATAATTATTATTTCAGTAAAAAAATACTCGCACTTTTTAGTCAAATAAAAAGGATCTCTTACTTTGTGATCGACTTAACTAATGAAATAGTGACACGTATGGGATAAAAAAGATTGCTCATACATGGCTTTCTCTGCTGATCTCAAATCAATTATCTTGATAGGATTGTTAGACAATTATTTTATA